GGCACACCCTAATATATATATATATATTAGGGTGGTCGTAAATGAAATAACTTCACCTTGGAGTGAAGAAATCTAGATATTAAAATTACGTTTGAACTAATTTATTTTTAAAATAAAAATATCAATTTGAATATTTTTATTTAATCAAATCAACTGGGAAAAATTTTGAATTTAAATTTTTTCTATTGTTATTTTGATTAACTATTCTTTTTTTATTGATTTGGGTTCTATAATTGTTTATATTTCGAATAAAATTTTATTTTTCATAAAAAATTCCCAAAAAAATATGATTATAGGTACCAAAAAATTAACTTAGATCGTCTTGAGGCACGTGTTGTTTTTAATTAAAAAAAAAATTCCCAGTGTTTTTTCATCAAAAAGAAGCTTTTTAGGGGGCGTCGCAAAAAATTTAATTTTTAACGACCACCCTAATATATAAATATATATAAATATACAGGGTGGAAACCTTAACTGGAATAAATTCTGTATTTTGAAAACCACTTAATTTTTAAAAAAATCCAAAAACAGGTCAATTTATAAATTTACCTGGGTAAATTGTGGTAAATCTTAAAAATATAAGAAACCACCCTTTGAGGGTGCAACCAAACCTAACTTTTTTTTTCAAATGTAAAGGTATATCAAGTGATACATCATTTAAAAGCTTGTTTTAATAGGAATTCATACAAATATGCAATTTTTAATTATTTTATTTTTGTACAATTATAAATAATAAAAACTTCATTTTATGATAAATATGGATTTATTATAAAAGATGTTCAAAATGAGCTCCTCTGGTTTCTTGACAAAATCCTAGACGATTATAAAATTCATTTTTAACCTTTTCCAACATCTCAGGTAATATTAAAGAAGTTTCGTGTCGGATACTCTCTTTAAGATCTTTAATATTAGTTGGTTTGGATACATAAACTTTATTTTTAAGGTAACCCCACAGGAAAAAATCCAACGGGGTAAGGTCTGGAGATTGGGCTGGCCACTCAACTGCACCTCATCTACCAATTCACCGATTAGGAAATATTTCATTTAGGTATCGACGAACGGGTAATGCGTAGTGCGGTGGACCTCCATCTTGCTGAAACCAGACTCTATTATCTGGTAAGTCTGGATCATTCTCGTTTGGAAACTGAACTGCCAAATATGGTATAAGATCTTCTTGAAGAAAAGTTAAGTACCTTTCGCCATTTAGAGTTTCGTTTAAAAAGGTGGGACCAATTATTCTATTACCAATTATTCCAGCCCAAACATTTACCTTTTGTGGATACTGTGTATGATTTTCTTCAATCCAATGAGGATTGCTGTCGTTCCAATATCTACAATTTTGACGATTAACTTCACCATTTAAAGTAAACGTACTTTTATCGGAAAATAGTATCCAATCCAAGGAAATTTGGTTATCATTAATAAGGTTTGTTATCATTAATAAGGTTCATCAACTCAATTCTGCGATCGGTAACATCCCCAATTAGTTCCTGTACTGCTTGTAGTAACTTCATTACAGTGGTGTGGCTCAAATCGTTCTCGCGAGCAATTTGTCGAGCTGAAGTAACAGGATTTTCTTGGATTGCTAATAGTACATTAAGCTTCGTATTGTCTTCAACGATAGGCTGGCGTTGTCTAGGAATATTTCTTACATGACCATTTTCGTGACATTTTGCTTCTACTTTACTAACAGTCCCTTGGCAAATGTGAGGCAATTCTGGATGCGTTTCGTTAAATAATCGTGCAATTTCTGTCTGATTTCGACGTCTATCACCAAATCCAATCATCATTAGAATCTCAATACGCAAAGTTTCAGTTAAATAAGACATTTTTACGGTCAATTTAGAACACGTTACTTGCAACTAATTTTAAAGAACTAAAATACATTCTTTCGGTTGAATATACAACGTTTTTGATGGATATAAAAAAAGTATTTATTTCTTTAAGGTACCAAAATAAAATAATTAAAAATTGCATATTTGTATGAATTCCTATTAAAACAAGCTTTCAAATGATGTATCACTTGATATACCTTTGCATTTGAAAAAAAAAGTTAGGGTTGGTTGCACCCTCAAAGGGTGGTTTCTTATATTTTTAAGATTTACCACAATTTACCCAGGTAGATTTATAAATTGACCTATTTTGGATTTTTTAAAAAAGTAAGTGGTTTTCAAAATACAGAATTTATTCCAGTTAAGATTTCCACCCTGTATATATATATATATATATATTAGGGTGATTCATTTCCGCAAAAAACTTTTTTTTTCTCGGCGCTCAAGCAAAATATTAATCTACCTATAGAAAAAAAAATGTTCACCAAGGTAGAGCTCTTAATATCAATTTTAAGTACTTGCAGTTTAAATTTAAAGTTTTCCCATTTAAAATGCATGTAAAAAAAATGTTTTTTTTTTTAAATTTCTAATGCTCGCCCGCTCTTTACAATATTGTGAATCGGTTTTATGGACCTTATAGGGAATTTCACGCTCTTCAAAATTGTCTTTGTGTTTTTTTGTGTAACTCGTAGTGGTTCGCCAGTACTGGCGATTAAGATATAAAAATGGCCGTAAATTCATCAAATATTTGTTAAAAGACTATTTTTTACGATTCAGCTCTTTTTTTTTCACTATTTTTAGCGAATTGTTAAAAAAAATTGCAAATAAAATGTTCATTAAAAAAATTGAACTTGATGACTCCTACTGCAGTAGGATTTTTTTTAATGAACATTTTATTTGCAATTTTTTTTAACAATTCGCTAAAAATAGTGAAAAAAAAAGAGCTGAATCGTAAAAAATAGTCTTTTAACAAATATTTGATGAATTTACGGCCATTTTTATATCTTAAAACGTAAGTTATTGATAAATATTAACCAATTATGCTATTTAAATTAAACTTTCTTATTTACTATCGATATATTCTCTACAAAAATAACTTTTCCAGAGTTATTATGATTTTTGACTTTTAATAAATATAAAAAAACACATTAATTTATAAAAAAACAACAAATATACAATTGCAACTTAGATTCTGCAATTTTTCAACATTTCCGTAAAATAGCAATAAATATAAATGAAGGTTATTCAATTTTTTTAACAAAATTCTTAAATTAACGAAAAAGTAAATTGTTTTTATTGTCAACTTCATTTGCTTCAATATTGTATAAGTAGAAATTGCTATTTGAATAATTGCACTAAATAATATTTTGATGGCATATTCGAACATAAGTAAAAAAATAATGATAATTATTTGATTGGGAAAGCAACTGTTACAATTTTATGATTGCTCTAGTTAATTAGTATGACGTTAGCGACTCTATTGTCTTTGTAAACGGGTTTGATGCTTTATGTTATACTTAACCCAAAATGTATTGTTTGTTGTATTTAGTGATTAGTCCGAGAACAAACTTTGTTCAACAAAGTACGAAGTGACTAGGTGCACGTTAGAGTGCCTGCAATTTATTTTTTACGGGCACGCTAGAATTTAAAATTGGCGGCACAACAATAATATAATAATAAATTGTACCTGCATACATGTTAAGGGCACGTTAGTTACGTCATAAAATAAAATCTTAATTTGCTTTGTATAAAAGTCGAAATAATTTAATATTTATCAACTTGTTTATTTATGACTATTGAGATTTTTATTAAATTTGCAATACTTATATTATCTAATAATGTAATCTGTTATTTGTTTTGATTAAAGTTTTGTTGTTTTTTTTATGAATTGATGTGTTATGTTTATATTTTTTTTTAGTCAAAAATCATAATAACTCTGAAAAAGTTATTGTTGTAAAGAATTATATCGATAGTAAATAAGAAAGTTTAATTTAAATAGCATAATTGGTTAATTAACAATTCGCAAAAAATAGTGAAAAAAAAAGAGCTGAATCGTAAAAAATAGTCTTTTAACAAATATTTGATGAATTTACGGCCATTTTTTTATCTTAAAACGTAAGTAATTGATAATATTAATTCAATATTTGTTAAAAGACTATTTTTTACGATTCAGCTCTTTTTTATCACTATTTTTTGCGAATTGTTAAAAAAAAATTGCAAAAAAAATGTTCATTCAAAAAATTGAACTTTGATGACTCCTACTGGCGAACCACTACGAGTTACACAAAAAAACACAAAAAAATTTTAAAGAGCGTGAAATTCCCTATAAGGTCCATAAAACCGATTCACAATATTGTAAAAAGCGAGCGAGCATTAGAAATTTGAAAAAAAAAAACATTTTTTTTACATGCATTTTAAATGGGAAAACTTTAAATTTAAACTGCAAGTACTTAAAATTGATATTAAGAGCTCTACCTTGGTGAAAATTTTTTTTTAGGTAGATTAATATTTTGCTTGAGCACCGAAAAAAAAAAACTTTGCGGAAATGAATCACCCTAATATATATATATATATATATTGGCAAAATATTTGCTTTAAATTTTACAAATAAGGTTTTCCTTTTCTTTATTCATACGGGCAATTGTTTGCAACAGTTTGTGTTATTATTTTTATTATGTATTTTATATTAAGAGAGACATGTATTTTTTGTCTTATTTTTATTGATAGGACCTGAATAAATGTTATGTTTAATCGTGTTGTTTTTATTTCATATCGCCTATTTTAGGCGGTTGAGGTCTATTTTAAGCACTTTCGGTCTAAAATGGCCTAAAATGTAGGTTTTTATTGCCTATTTATGTGTCCTAATTTCCAATTTTTAAGGGCCTAAAATCCGGTCTTTGATTATTACATTATGTTTTAAAAATTATATCAGCCAAATGTCCGCCGCGGCTTTGCCTGGTGACTTAAATCCTGGAGACCCAATTTTCGATGACTTTATTGCAGAAAAGTGGCCCAATTTCACCAATGAGGCGCCTGATGTTGGCTTTAAGGGCAGTAACCGTCTGTGGGATATCGGCATAGACCCGAGATTTCACAATGCCCAGAGAAAAAAATCCAGTGGCGTTATATCGCACGATCTGGTCGGCCAGTTGACGTCGCCATCTCGCGATATTACGGAACCTTCGAACTTCTAATGCAATAAAGTGAGTGTCTAGACTGCAGTATGGCACGTAGCACCGTCCTGTTGGAACCAAATATTCGCAAGATCCATCCCATCCACTCTAGGCCAAAAAAATCTCTTATCATCGTCCTATATCGCTCACCGTTGACAGTAAGTGCGGCTCCTTCGCCATTTTCTAAAAAATATGGACCAATTACTCCGCCGAACCACAAAACGGTGACTTTTTGGGAATGGAGTGGGACCTGATGAATCTCCTGTGGGTTTTCGTCACTCCAAATTCGGAAATTCTGCTTGTTAACAAAGCCACTTAACCAAAAATGAGCCTCGTCGCTAAACATTATTTTTTGCCCAAAATCAGAATCAACTTACAATTGCTCTAGGGCCCACTTAGGGCCCAGGTTTGAAGTATTTCAACGTGTTGTTAAATAGTGTAGCGTTCCATAATGAAATGTAAAGACTAACTTAATACTCCTACCAAAGATCCCATCGATCCGCTCATCGATAAAGGCATGCGGGTTTGCCAAAGATCGAACGTAGCTATTGGAAAACCCTGTATATATGTGTGTATGGGTATGTATGTATACAAAATAACACTGTTACCCTATTCCAGGGCAATGCAAAAGGAGGAATTAGACGGAAACTATAGATAATATATACATAAAAAAGGCTGCATTTACATATTTTGTGAGTGGAAAAAAAACCGAAATGACGGATAGCGGTATAAAACCGTTTTTATGCGATAGCATAGATAAACCTCTAATAAGAGCAGAATGGGAGAGATGGTTACGGTCACTAGAACTGTATTTAGCTGCGGAAGAAATTGTAGACGTCACAAAGAAAAGAAACAAACTCCTACATTTAGGAGGGACCCAGTTGCAGGAGGTGGCTTATAACTTGCCGGGAGCAATTGAAAGTTATGACTCCGATCGGCAAAACGACATTTTCCAAACTCTAGTAAATAGATTGACAGAATACTTTTCACCTAAGCAAAATTTGACGTTTGAACGCCACATTTTTAGAAGTATACAACCGAAAGAACAAGACACATTTAACAAATTTCTACTTAAAATTAAAAACCAAGCTGAGTCAATCCAAATAAAAACACCAAATGGGGTGCGCTGCGTGATTTTTTATTTTGATGAAAAAATTTGAGGATGATCTTTTAGGTGTCAAATATGAAAATCCGTTGCCGTTTTAATTTTTTGTTGCTTTACTTTTATTTGGCACCCCTTAGAAGTCTGAAATAGTGTCAATTTCTTACTCTCTTATAGTGGGCCAGAACTTTTTTCTGTGACAAATATTGAAATAAATTTAATTTTGTTATACTGTCCAGTAAGTGTGTTTTCGATATAAATTATTTTTATCCAATTAGTTAATCTCATAAAAGAATGGTAAACCACTAAAGATTCATGATAATTTGCCAATTTTTGTGATTTTTGTCTGGCTCCTGTGCCTATTCTACTGAATTTAGAAGGTTCAGGTATAAAGTACTTATACAATAGAAAACGTAACTATTATTTTAAGTTTCTAGACTATCAATTTCTTTATTAAAAAAATTATTGAAAATTGATATTTCTCAAAATTAGCCAATTTTGCCCTCAGAAATCATTATGTTGAGGAAAAAATAAAAATCTGAAACTTTCAGGAAATGTAGTCCCCACCTTCATCTTTTCAGTCCAGTTAGTCTTGTTTTGTTATTTTTATTCCTTTAAAAGATATATTAATTTTTTTAATGGCCGTTTAGTAGCGATATTGTTAGTTTTATTTATAATTTAAAATTTAGATGGCTTTCATGTTTGGTGGAGAAGTGTCAGAACCACAGATTATACAAACTGTCAAAAATATTTCATAAATATTATTTGTGCATATTTCTTTGGTAAATTTTGTATATAACATAATATGTAATATTATGTTATATATAAAACTTTTTAAAATCACCAAAGGAATACCACAAATAATAATTATGAAATATTTTTGAGAGTTCTGATATTTTTGGTAGTTATGTTATATTTTATGTATTGAAAAATCATATATATATATATATATATATATATATATATATATATATATATATATATATATATATATATATATATATATATATATATATATATATATATATATATATATATATTATTATATACATTATAATGAAGTATTTAATTGGCTAATTGGTGTTTAAAGAAGAAGAATTTAAAAAATATATTTAGGATTCTTATGGTTTATATCGTTAAGTATAATAAGTGAAATTAATAAAGAGTTAATTTAAACGTATAAAAAATGCGTTAAGCAGTTTTTTGTCGGTTTCTTTCACAATTTAAACCAAGTTAGTCTTGTTCTATTATTTTGATCCCTTTAGTAAGGCACTAAATAGTTAAAAGTTAAATGTATGTATTTTAAATGTTAGTGTTGGAAAAAATTTACACAATCTGTAAATACTTCTTTAAATTTTAGTTTTTAGGTAACTGGATAAAATAAAACATGTTATAATAAAAGGGTTTATTTAGAATATTTTTTATAAGAAAGAGGTACAAAGTATGATATGTTCTTGCATTTTTAATTGCAATTAAATTCATGAATCTCGAACACTCCGTCATTTATTACACTTGCAAACTTGCAAACTTTTTGAAATCACAATTTAAATACACACAAATAAAATTTATGAAATATTTTTGACAGCTCTGATATTTCTCTACCAAACATGAATTGACAAAGTCAAAGCCATCTAAATTTTAAATTATAAATAAATCTAACAATATCGCTACTAAACGGCCATTAAAAAAAATTAATATATCTTTTAAAGGAATAAAAATAACAAAACAAGACTAACTGGACTGAAAAGATGAAGGTGGGGACTACATTTCCTGAAAGTTTCAGATTTTTATTTTTTCCTCAACATAATGATTTCTGAGGGCAAAATTGGCTAATTTTGAGAATTATCAATTTTCAATAATTTTTTTAATAAAGAAATTGATAGTCTAGAAACTTAAAATAATAGTTACGTTTTCTATTGTATAAGTACTTTATACCTGAAAAAAATGAACCTTCTAAATTCAGTAGAATAGGCACAGGAGCCAGACAAAAATCACAAAAATTGGCAAATTATCATGAATCTTTAATGGTTTACCATTCTTTTATGAGATTATCTAATTGGATAATAATAATTTATATCGAAAACACACTTACTGAACAGTAAAACAAAATTAAAATTATTTCAATATTTGTCACAGAAAAAAAGTTCTGGCCCACTATAAGAGAGTAAGAAATTGACACTATTTCAGACTTCTAAGGGGTGCCAAATAAATGTAAAGCAACAAAAAATTAAAACGGCAACGGATTTTCAAATTTGACACCTAAAAGATCATCCTCAAATTTTTTCATTACAATAAAAAATCATGCAGCGCACTTTTAAATTCATTTTTGGTGTTTTCATTTGGATTGACTCAGCTGCAAAGTGTACATTTGGTACATCGTCTCAAGAAGCAACAGAAATCCATATCAAGGATAAATTAATTGATAGCTAGGCACCCTTGGAGCTTAAGAAGAAGCTTTTAGAAAAAGAAAGACCACTTGAAGAAGTTGTAGAGCTATGCCAAATTTATGAACAAATTGGGACCCAATCCAAGAAAATGAGTGAAACAGCTACAATATCAAATACAAATTTTAGTGTTAATAAAATACAGTCCAGCAACACTGTAAACCAAAGCCGGGGCAAGGGTCAATGCACAAGATGTGAGAAATTTAGACACGCCTCAGATTCAAAAGACTGTCCGGCTAGACAAGTAAAATGCCATAGCTGCGGATTTCTTGGTCATTATTCGGTTATGTGTAAAAAATCGAAAGGAAAACGTCCATTTTCCGAAACGAGAAACAAATATGAACTTCCAAATAAAAGAAAACGAACGGACTCCAGAATTAATTTTGTAGAAAACAATAATATCGAGCAAGAAACAAATAAAATGAAACATTTTGACTGCTTTAAAATTTCCGAACAACAATTGAATAAGGACGAAGACTTGATCACATGTCAAGTGGGAGGAGTAAACACATCCCTACTAATAGATTCAGGTTCGAAAGCGAATATACTAAAAGGTGAAGATTGGCAAGCGCTGATACACCAAAATGCCACCATGTGGAATATTGACTCGCAAACGATGGTGAAATATCTATTCTGGGAAAAGACGCTGCGAAGCGTTTGGGTATTTTAAAACTGGGCCTCAGCATAAATCATTAAGTCATTCTTCGATGACACTTTCCACTGGAACGATAAACCAAAACATTCACTGGTATCCGTAACAAAATTATCATACTTTGATCCACAAAGAAAAACCTGCCTGCGTCTTGAACAACACATATATAATTGATAAAGTCGATCACATTCATGAACATGAAACACGTTACAAAAATAACTATATACCTACAAAATTTAATTTTACTTACCTACAAAAGAATGTAACCTACATGATAATAAAAATATTTAATAAAATACCTGAACACTACAGAAACTTACCTGTCAAAGTATTAAAAAAACAACTAACATGCTTCCTAATAAAAAAAGCGTATTATAGTATGGATGAGTATTTCAATGATGAAATAATTTTTTAAAATCACCTAAATTTAATGTAAAATATTGTTATTTTGTACTTTGTACTTGAATTTTTTATTGTACTTGACATGTTCCACACCCTATGGGTATTATTCGAACTAATAAAGGCTTTCTATTCTATTCTATCTGATGCTAGCCCCGTAGCTCGAGGAGCTGTATTATTACAATTTGATGGCAAAATTCCCCAGGTTATATCGTTTGATAGTATGAGCTTGTCACCTGTTGAACGTCGATATTCACAAACGGAAAAGGAAAGCCTTGCTCTACTTTGGGGGGTAGAACGTTTTTACTATTATCTGTTAAGGGTTAGAGTTTGAGTTAGTAACGGATCATAAGCCTTTAGAATCGATTTTTCGACCAACTTCTAAACCAACCGCTAGAATCGAAAGGTGAGTTTTACGCCTTCAATCATATAAGTTTAAAGTTGTATATCAGGAAGGAAAATCAAAAATTGCTGACCCCTTTTCAAGGCTTTGCAAGATAAATGAGGATTCATCATTCAACAAAGAAGGCAAACATCATATATTTAAAATAATTGAAAAAACATCACCCAATTGGTATTTGTGTAATGTTTATTGCCTTAAGGCACTAAACATTACACAAATACTAAACGGCAGTAAACTCGATCCCCAAATAGTAGAAGCTTCTAATAAAATAAATGAAAACTTCTGGCAAATGTCGGATAAAAAACGTATATTTTCCATTTAAAGAGGAACTAATAACTATGGGACCTAAGCTACACCTTGGTAACAAGCTTGTCATCCCAGAGATACTGCGTGAAAATGTACTTATGCTAGCTCATCCAGGAGAGACCACAATGAAAAGAAGATTAATGGCCAAGAATTGGTGGCCACTGATTGACCGACAAGTAGAATATTTTGTCAAATCTTGTCGGAACTGTTTGCTTGTAACTATTCCAGACAAGCCGCCACCTATTAAAAAAAATCGTTTCCCCGATGGAAAATGGAAATGCATAGCAATAGATTTGTTGGGACCACTACCTAACCAAGAACAATTATTGGTAATCATAAATTACAACTCCAGATACAAGGAAGCAAAATTTCTTAAAACAACTACATCAAGCGTAATTATCAACCATTTGTTAGAAGTTTTTGCTCGCCTTGGAATACCAACATCAATTAGAGCTGACAATGGACCTCAATTTGCAAGTAGAGAGTTCAAGGAATTTTGCACCCACCACAATATCCAGCTAATACAAACTCCACCCTACTGGCCACAAGCAAATGGAGATATGAACAGAGCGATTTTAAAGTGATTGCAAATTTGTCATACAAACAAAATGAATTATCGCAGTGAATTGCAGAAGTTCACCATGACGTACAAAACAACGCCGCGGCGCGCCGAATGGAACTACGGGAAAATCTCCGCCAAAATTACTTGTTAATAGAAGAATTCGTGACAAGATACCATCAATTTCTGACTTAGTAAATATCCCGAGTGATGAAGAATCCAAAGATAATGATATCCTAAACAAACAAAAAAGGAAAGGAGAAGGAAGGTAGGCATAGGAGGGCAAAGGAGGGAGAAGTGGAAGTAGGAGTTCAAGTTCTGCTTCGTAATATGATTACCCCTCACAAACTTACTACTCGATACAACCCTGATGAATATACCGTGATACAGAAGGAAGGGAGCGAAGTCACAGTGTCGAAAGAAAATGGCCAAACATTTAAAAGACATGTAAGCCATGTTAAGAAGATTCCGGTGTCATCTAATACACCGGATACCAATGTAACAAACAATCCAATTCGGATTATCCGAGGACAAAGAGGAGTCAACCACACAGGTTAAAGTACCACCCATTAAATTGAAAAGGAAGGAGAGATTGTGGAGACCGATTAGCAATGAGTAGTCATTGATTACATAAGGTTTACGTTTGGTTGTATAAATATCTTTGGAAAGAATCAGTGCATTTGTGAACACTGTTGCGATAAGTTGTATTTGTCTAGTTATTAAATAAACAATAAGTTATTGAATTAATAAATAATACTTTTTTGCTATATTGTGTTTTATTACATGGAACCCCTACCCGTGGGTTAGCACAGCACCCATTACAATGGAAATACCCTATAGGAACCATTTCTGTGACCTCAAATTTTCGAGGATTACTTAAAGAACCCAAATGCAACTTTGTTATATAGGCAAAAATTAATCAAAATTTACTCCAATGGACACAGGGCCGTAGCGACGGACTCAGGGGCCCCGGTGCAAAACTTTTCAGGGGCCCTTGATTTTAAAACTTTATGTTTAAAAGTAGAACTTGCCTTCGCGTTATTATTATAGGGTAATGAAATAACATGAAATATAATGGGTTTTTCATAAAGAGTTTAGATTTACATTCACGCTCGTAATTTACATTTCAGAATTATAATAGTATATCTTATTTAGAGATGCGACTTTTTTGTTTTACGTTTTTTTTTGTTTTAATTTTTTTTTTGTTTTTTTTTTCAGGTTTTTTTTCATTGTTTTTTTTTCAAATGTTTTTTTTTTCAAGATTAGTCCCAATTGCCTAATTTTTAAGTTTCCAGTCCAGTTCATGAACTAAAATTAGTCACTAAATAACAATTAGTAAATGTGGCGCTATGCACGCGCCACCACCACCGAATTGACCAATAAGGACCGCGCTTGTTTTGATTTGGTCCTAAAAAAAGTAACTACATATAATATTTTTGATTCAGCGATTGATTTTTCAAAAAGCTACCAAAAGCATGATTTTTCAAATTCATGTAGAGTATGGAATTTTTTTTTTCAAAAAAGCAATAGAAAATTCTTGTAGAACATTTGTTGCCAAAAAAAATCGTTTTTTTATTACTGTATTCGTTAGGATTTAGCGTTGTGCATATGCGCTATATATCCTAACGAATACAGTAATAAAAAAACGATTTTTTTGGCAACAAATGTTCTACAAGAATTTACAAAAATATTTTTTATCTAAAAATCTTAAAACTAAAAACTTCAAGCTTCAAATTGCTTTTTTTACGGCTCCAATTAATACGACCATTTTTAACAAAGATACAGCTATCCGAAGAATCGCAAAAAAAAATTTTTATCCTTTAATTTTTTGTGTTAGTATAGAAGTTTTACATTGCTATTGGTTTCTAATGTGGAAACTACCAAATAATAAGAAATCAGATTTTTTAGTCTCGGTCAAAATTTTCAATAATGAAAAATGTAAAATATTCTATATTTCACTTTATTATTAATATACATTTTACTAAAAATTTTATTTTGAAAAAAACAAAAAAAACGGTTTTTTTCTAGGTTTTTTTTCATGTTTTTTTCACATCTAAAAAAAAACCGTTTTTTTACATCTCTAATCTTATTACTCTATAGAGTAATAAGATTAGAGATGTAAAAAAACGGTTTTTTTTTAGATAGTATACTATTTCACATATTTTGTGACAGTAGTACATTTATTCTGCAGGATATCGATTTTTATCGATAGGATAGGATAGGATATCGAAAATTACGATTTTTTAGTAAAACTTTTTAGTTTTGGGGGCCCCTTTGAGGTCGGGGGCCCTGGTGCACCGCACCGCCTGCACCAGCCTCGCTACGGCCCTGAATGGACATACAAAGGATCAATGTAGGAAAACAAGACAGGCTAGACAATTTAGCACCTGTCCACGCAAAACCTTCTGCTGTTTAGACCTCTGTACCTGGTCCCTCCAATTTAGAAAAAAGTAGCAAAATTACTTGTTTTGGGTGCATCATATCCAACTGCTAATATGGCTAATTTTGGATATTTCTGTATTGGGATTCATTGGTACTGAGATTATCAACACTGCAGCTAAACAAAGTATTGCAAGTAGCTCACTATTTGAAATTCTGGTACGGAAATGGGTCAACAATGCTGATCTTTCGCTGATGAAGCTTTTCACCGGTATCCACTAAAGTTTGAATCATGTGTGCTCATTTTAAACATTACGACCTACAATTCGTCAAACGTAGATGTCTCTGAGATAGATAATAAGGGGACTAACCTTACACCCCAGAAGAAGCAATACCTTGCACCGTTTATACATAACAATCAGGATATTTTCGCTCTAGGGAAATTGCCTACTCCTTATGCTGAGCACTGTATTGATACTATTCACCCATCGCTGTACCTCCATAGCGTATGACTCCAGCGAATAAGGAGAAATTACACGCAGAATTGGACGAGTTACTAAAGAAAGGCGTTATTGAATGTGAGTCTGCATGGGCAGCACCTGTCGTCCTTATGACAAACAAGGATGGTGGCAAACGAGGCTAACCAAAGAAAAACACCCGAGATCCTGGTTCCTCGACTACCTTTTGTTCTCACCAGAAGTGACCTTTTATTGCTCCTTACAGTTTCCATTTTTACAACTCAATTATTATTTGAACCAAACATTTGTTTGTTAAAAAAACCTTATTGTAGATAAACTATTATTTTAGACTATAATTAAAAATACAATTTATCAACTAACATTAAAATTACAGACATACAGCGTTGCAATATGTCTAAAAACTTAATCAAATACTAAAAGGGTTCTTAAAAATTGCTACTATTGTGTAGCAAACTCTACACCGCGCACTAGAGCACAACAGAGAATTAGTGCTCTGATTGGTAAATTACCTCCGATAGAAATTAATTTCTATAGAAATTAAATTCGTAAATTACAAGAAACGGTCCGCTGCTCCTAGGTAACAGAATTAACCAAGTCCACACATGTCTTTCAGACCTACTTTTCCCTGTATAGGGTTATACACTTTAATTAATTAATATTTTTGGTGAAAATGAAACTAACGCCTCTCTCTCTCAGGGGGCCGTCCATAAATCTCGTGACGCTAAAAATGGTCCAAATTGAACTCTTCTTCCTCCCTCGATAGAATGTAACGATGTAAAGACCCCCCCCCCCCCGAAGGGCCATGTGACAAATTATCGAACCCCCTATAAATATATTTTCCGATTCTTTTTTGTATAATCCGACTAAAAATGGAACAAATAAGCAATTTCATTCGATTTACTTTGTTAGGTACTTTTTAAAAAAATGGTCCCCCTCTAAGGCTTGACGGTTCTTCCCACCTTTAGCGTCACGAGATTTATAGAAGGCCCTTATTTTAGGTATAAAACAACTTACCTGCTCCAGCAGCCTTGACCAAATTAAATGGATGAAAGAAACTTTTGGTAATGACTTCTTGAATTTTACCACTATGTGATCTAGATATAATTATTAGTTTTTGATTCCGAGATGCTTTCTTAATAATAATATTTTTCGATTTTTCTTTACCGACCCAAGCCCAATATGTTTGTTTTAAAAAAGGTTTGTGAATTACTCCTATTATAGGTTTTCCTTTGACAGCCACACATACCATAGTTGTAACATACTCAAAAAGACGTTCTAAAATAAATAATAACATTTACGAAAAAAATTAATAAGAATCCTTAAATCGATTTGGCAAAAGACGCCCTATTATTTTTATTATTTTAATTTATAATTATTATATTTATTTTAACACAGTTCGTCAGTTAAAAAAATAATATAAATTTAATAATTAAAAAAAAATTCAAACAAAAACAGCGCATTGAACGTCAGGTAGAGGGTTAAAAAGCAATTAACTTTTTTTCTGTTTCTTTAAAAAATAGGTGGCATATTTAAATGAGAAACTCAGTACTGTAGGCTAACTAACTGCTAACAACTGATTAAAGCTACAATTTTAGCTCTATGTCATTGGGAATTATTCAATCAAATTGCTATTTTGTTTTTAAAATTCCTTTTCGTTTAAAATTTTCTGTTACCTTTGGCATTATACAGTAAAGAATCATCGAGTTTTCGCAACGCGGGCGCCATCTGGTGGCGCTCGAAAGCATTATTGAAATACAAGGTTTTCAACAATACATTTAACTGCACATCATTTTTTCATAAATAAGTAGTTTTTTTACAAAAAAAAACACTTGTTGAATTGAACTTCGCGAATAAAATTTTTGAGTGCAAACTGCGACAAATTGCTCGTATATGTGGAAAGTGCTTAAGCCCCTAGAAACGTTCGTTCGGGTTTTGAGCAAAACTGCGAGCGTCTGCGATTGCTGGCAACGTGAACGAATAAAAACGTTCGTCAGGTCTGTGATCGGCTAAAGGCATTTTAATTAATTTAATAAAAAGTTTAAACGTGACTGCCGTTCGACTCGCAAAACGTATGACAGTTTGAATTAAAATTTCATTGAAAATTCCAATTTAAAGTTAATTAATACCAAATACCAAATTGAATTTGTTTATTCCCATTTTTAACGTGTAACTCACCAATTTAAAGTTGATTAATCCCAATTTGAAATTGATTAGTTCCAATTTGAAGTTGAAAAGGTTTAGATGAATGTAGAGATAAAACAAAATGCAGACGCGTCCAGATAAAACCGGATGAATGCAGACATAAAACGACCGATCCAACCTCACTTTCACGTGAATAAAACCAGAGACATTTTCAGATAAAACCAGATGAAAGCAAGCAAGCAAAAGGGGACAAAATCAGGATAGGATAAAACTAGATGTATGCAGACATAAAACAAAATGCAGGCGATTGCGGATAAAACAGAACGAAATCAGACATTTGCGGAAAAAAACAAATATGAATAATAATAATAATAATAATAATAATAATAATAATAATAATATTAGACTTTATTGTGTAAGATACATAATACATTAGATACATAATACATTATATATAGTATATTATATACATATATATATATATATATATATATATATATATATATACAGGGTGTTTCATAATATATGCGCAGGACTTCAGGATCTGATAGCTCGACCAAAAAGATGAAAAAAGTCGCTATTAACTTACCCTCTAAAATGCACAATTTTCGAGATACAGGGTGTTGAAATTTTAGAAAAAAAATCGTTTTTTTCGATTATCTCTGGAACCGTTTATGGTACAAAAAACAGCTTTTGTAAGCATTTTCTACTCATAATAAGGTATGTTTTGTGCCAGAAAAAAATTTTTTTTCTTCATAATTGGTGGAGATTTTGAAGGGGTAGCGGGTGTTTTTCTCCTCAACTTCTACGCCCCTGAAAAAAGTACGGTTTTGAGAGGCTCATTCGAACCGCCAATGTTTTCTACACAATAAAGGTACTCTTGGTCATAAGCTCTAAAGTTGACCGTTTTCGAGAAAAATCAACTTTTATGTTTAAAAACATGGTCAATTTTTTGAAAAAAAATTTTTATTACTAATTAAACAAAATTTATTTTAACGTTAGAAAAAGTAACAAAACCAAACGATAATTGCAAAATTAAAAAAAAAATAAAAAATGATTTTTTACACAAATGCTGAAATGTGCGAAATGCGTTACCTTTACGGTTTGGAGAATTTAGCAAAGACAACTTTTGAATCATATTTTATTTTGAAATTATGGTTTGGTTTTGTTACTTGTTCTAATGTTAAAATAAATTTTGTTTAATTAGTAAAAAAAATTTTTTTTTTTTTTAAATTGTCCATGTTTTTAAACATAAAAGTTGATTTTTCTCGAAAACGGTTAAGTTTAGAGCTTATGACCAAGTACCTTTTTTGTGTAGAAAACATTGGCGGTTCGAATGGGCCTCTCAAAACCGTACTTTTTTCAGGGGCGTAGAAGTTAAGGAGAAAAACACCCGCTACCCCTTCAAAATCTCCACCAATTATGAGGAAAAAAAATTTTTTCTGGCACAAAACATAGCTTATTTTGAGTAGAAAATGCTTACAAAAGCTGTTTTTTGTACGATTAACGGTTCCGGAGATATTCGAAAAAAACGATTTTTTTTCTAAAATTTCAACACCCTGTATCTCGAAAATTGTGCATTTTAGAGCGTAAGTTAATAGCGACTTTTTTCATCTTTTTGGATGAGCTATCACATCCTGAAGTCCTGCGCATATATTATGAAACACCCTGTATATATACACGTACATGCAAAATATACAAAAATAGTACAAACACAAAGGGTGTAAGCTCAGCATAGCTGGTCTACCGCTTAAACCAAATAATAACATAAATACATACAAAGAATAATATTCTTATATTATAATACAAACAGTTTAAAAATTCTGAATTCAGGCACATCTGAGATTTAATATATAACTCTTAAACTTACTTTTAAAGGTGTTAACAGTAAGGTCAGGTTTAAATAAATGTATATGTTTATTAGCAATAGAAGCAGCTAAGTACTCAAAGCATTTTTCAAATTTAGAAGTTTTGTGGTATGGAATAGAATAAAGATTGGCGTTTCTTAAATTTACATTATGGCAATAATTTCTTTTTTCTAAGAGGGACCAAAGGTAGTCTGGTTTTGAAGATTTAATAATATTAAAGATTAAGGTTGCATATTGGCAGTAAAACACATCCTCCATTTTAAGTATTCCATGTATAACATAATACTGTGTTGTGTGATCGCTGTACTGAATATTATAGGAGTATCTAAGACAGTAATTTTGAAGTTTTTGTATTAAAGACTTAGTATTTAAATTTAAAAAACTAAAATATACATTACTACAATAATTAAAAGGGCTTAAAATCATGGTATTAGTAAGTTTCCATTTAACAGAGCTACTTAGGAAGTATTTATAGCAATAAATAGATTTAAACTTAAAATAAGCATTTTTTAAAAGCGTAGATACATGTTTTTCAAAATTTAGGTTAGCATCAAAATGTATTCCCAAATTTTTTACACAGTTTTCTAGTTTTATCACAGATTCGTTTACTTTAATATCACAGGTCTTATAGGTTAATGCTTTTAGACACGTAGAACTTGTACCAACACATATAGCAACAGTTTTTTTGAATTTAATATCAGACCATTATATTTGGACCACTTAGAAACACTCACTAAATCTTCATTAATTTCCGCAATAACTTCATCAATATCAACAGGTAAAGCTAATTTATAAATTTGAGTATCATCTGCATATTGGTGCATAGAGCAGAACTTAATGACCTTATTTAAATCTGCAGTAAAAATACTAAATAGAAGTGGACCAAGTATACTACCTTGGGGGACACCCTTAGATATCTGTAGCATGGTTGATTCTTGATTATTTATTCTTACGCATTGTTTTCTATCAGTTAAATAGTCCAGAAACCAGGATATAACAGAGTTGTCGAAGTTGTAATAATGTAGCTTTGCGACTAAAAGTTGATGGTTTATAATGTCAAATGCTTTGCTGTAATCTAACAATACAAGTAAAGAGATCATGGAGTAATCATTAGCTCGGCTTAGATCATTGGTGATTTTAAGAAGTGCAGTATTTGTACTGAAATTTTTTCTAAACCCAGATTGTGTTGAAGGCAAGATACATTTGTTAGCAAATTCCGATACTTGTTGCATAACAATTTTTTCAAGGATTTTGGATGCTAAAGGAAGGATGCTTATTGGTCGTAGATCTGACGGGCTACTCGGCTTTATGACTTTAGGAACTGGTATCACTGCTGCTGTCTTCCAAAGTTGCGGAATTTTTCCTGTTTCTAATGACTTATTTATTATATGTGTTAGAGCTGGTAAGCAATAGGGGAGTACCAACTTCCATATTTTTAGATTTAATCTATCCATACCCTCTGCATTCGATTTAATAGTCCTAAAAGCGTTTAATATATCTTGTTCACCAACTTCATAAAATTTAAGAGTTTCTGGGATGTGTTCATTAATATTATTAAAATAATGCATTATTATGTTTTCATTGATATCCAGTTTAGGAGTGGAATTATTGTAAAATTGATTGAATGAAGACATAAAGCCAAATTCAGGCATTTGCGGATAAAACCGGATGAATGCAGACATATAACGAAATGCAGTCAATCGTGGATAAAACCCGACAAAATCAGGCAATTGCGAATGAAACCAGATAAATGCAGACATGAATCCAAATGCAGGCATTTGTAGATACAACTGGATAAATGCAGACATACAATGTGGAACTCACTTATGGAATAAAATTCGTTATTCGTTGAGAAAAGATTTTTATGAAAAACGCTCGGACACGTAAACTTTAGTTTTTTATTCCAAATCTTATAATGATAATTACCCTCTTATATATGCCTACAAGACAATTATCGCGATAATTGTCTACTAGGAATCGATAATTCCATTGTATCTACGTATCCATGGCAATTAATAAAAATAACGTCAGTTTTTATTTTAATGTGACAGTTATTTAAAATGTTACGTTTTGGTAAAGAATCATTTGAAAATGTGAAAAATAGTGTTAAAATATTTGAAAATTCTTTGATTTAATTATAATTAAATAATAATAATAAACTATAGTTTATTCGTGTAATTATCTAAACAAATTACACTCGTGCATAAAAATAATCAGATAATTTTGCATTCAAGCATATTGCCTTTTAAAAAATGCATTCGGTCATTTTCATATTTTGAGGAAAGAGCCCTCCACCTTCGGTGTCGGGCTCTTTCCAAAATATTAAAATGGACTCATGCATTTTTTAGGCAATATGCTTTCAAGCAAAATTATCGAAAATTTTTAAGCACTTGTGTAATTACCCCCGATAATTTTAAATTTTATGCCCCCACCATTTCCCCCCCCCCCGCACATTAGGCACCCTTATCTTAAATAACAACCCCACTTTTTTTCATCGAAAATTGATAGTGCATTGCATTGCATTGATAGTACGACGATACCACATAAGTAGGGTTTAGTAACCATAATTTTCAATACAGGGTGAATATTTAAAAATTACAAGTATGAATTTTTTATTGTTATTCTA